CCCCCAAAACCCCAAAACCCCAAAACCCCATTTTGGCTAAAAATGAGCTATTATGGAAGGCTCAAATTCATCTTATGCTCCTCACATAGCTCATTGAACTTCTTCATAAGTTGGTTGGATGCCTTCTCGCCTTCAGGAGATACATGAGACTGAGAGTTGTTAGCCTCGAGGAACTTATACATCTCATTCTTCCATTTCTCAACAGAGAAGTATGAGTTTGTGATCAATTTTTCCTGAATGTTGTACATAATCATCTCTATACCTCTACAAAGTTAATCTAGTGATCTACCTGTCTCCTTCTTTGTTCTCTTCCATTCTTTCTGAGTCTCTAGATTATAGGTTTGACACTAAGGGACTTACGAGTTTTTGGCACTAAACCTCTTCTTCATTGGACTTCCTCTAGGTGTAGACGATACCTATAAATCAGGGTGATAAGTTTTACACTTCCGTTCAGAAGAGAATCCATAAAGGTGATATGCTTGGTCATTTCATCATGAATCTTAATAGCAGCATTCTCCCATTGTAGGTTTGCTGGAAGGTTTGGAGGGATTACTGTATTTCCAATATACTCTGAAGAGTTTTTCTTCTTTTCTATGCTGTGGAACAATTTTAGAGCTTCTTCATCTTCTGTTGTAGCTTCTACCCATTTCCCATTCTTAAAGATACAAAGAGCATATTGCTTAACTGTCGCTAAATTTGCAGGTCTTCCACTTCTTTTCTTTCCTCTGGTCTTCTTAGTTCCCTCCTTTGCACCAAGGGAGAATAAATGAAGTTCAATATTCTGATATCTGGCGTCTTTGGCCTTAGTAGAGTTCTTATTATTTACCAATATTTTTGACAATATCATATACTGTTTTCTGGGAGCTATTCTCAAGATTATAGTCAGCTCCAAGCTCGATTAGCACTTTGGTCATTTCGAAATGCCCTTCATTGACTGCGTAGAACAGAACTGTTTCATTTTCAGTGTCTCTATGGTTTATTTTCTTCCTTCTCTCTTCATCATTTGTGCCAAGTAATTCAATCAATCTTCTGGCTGCCTCAATCTTGTTATCTCTTACTGCATAGTATAGAGGAGATTGCCTGTCTAAAAATAAGAAGGAGATTACAAATATCAATATGATCGACACTGCAGCCATGCTTGATGAGGTACTCAATTCACCTAATTTTACCCTCTCTTGCAACATAGTACATTACTGTCTGGCTAAGATCATCTGCTGTTTCAGGGAGGATGTCTAGATATTAGCATATATGTTTACTCTGTTCTTCAACCATGTATTTCATCATTTCGAGGGCCTTGTCTTCATCCTATAATTAATAGCCAGCTCTTACTGGGATCAGTGCTCAGTTGAATAAAGCAGTCTCTCCAATGTCTCCTCTCAACTCACTAAGATCTGTTCCTGTTCTGTTGACATAGTCTCGAAGGACGTCAACGTCGTCAAATGGAGGATTATTAGGGTCTAAACCAAGAATTAGTACTATTTTCAGCATTGGAATGCTCTATTCTCCTAAAATTTAGCCAAATATAATTTCTATACTTCTTCATTAAGCTAAAAGATAGAATCTGAAGGCTTTAAACATGAGTGATTAAGCACTTACTCCTTGCGAAGATGTAATCCTCAATATTTTCTTCATTCAGCACAGCTGCAAGCTCGTTCAAGGAAGTCATATTCTTGTTCTTCCTCTGTGGTCTTTGGACTTCAGACATTTCAAGTTAAAATTTCAATTATAAATCAATGAAACGGGGTTTTGGGGTTTTGGGGTTTTGGGG